CACTCTTTAAGGAAAGAACCTGATCCATAGTCCAGTTTTGTTGTATCTCAAGCTAGTGGAATAAGCTACTAACCCTATATCTTACCATTACTAAATAATAATAATAATATAGTAATAGCAGCTGCTAATAGTTGCCGAGTGCTTCCTATAATCTTTGCTGTAAATCTCATTTCAACAACTTTATGGGGTAGATAATATTATACTCAAGATATTCAAGTAGTTGGTAATAAAGCCAGAATACAAACCAAGGTAGCCTGACTCACAGCCTCTGCTAGTAAACATTACTTATATAAATGAGTCAAGTATGGAAAAAAAATCTATGTTATAAAGATGATTGTGGAACCTATTATAGCCTATTCTCTGCAACTAGATAACTTGATTATTTTATTAGTACTTGCTACCTGGTAAAAGTGCCAAATTGGTGCTGTGTTTTCTAAAGGACCTTATGTCTGAAGAAAAAAAAAAAATAAGTAAGCCTCATTAAAATATTCCCGTTGGTCTTCACAAAGACTACTAGTGGTTTTTAGTGTGTTTGGTTTTTTATTCGTGTTTTCCTTCAAAACCCAGTGTACACATAAAACCTGAGACTCCTTTTGTAAATTCAGCCAGAATGGAGCTTTGTAACCATATTTTAGTTTTCTACTTTGCTTGCTAGAAAGCAAAAATCCATATTGGTAGCTCTCTCCTGGCAAATTTATCAAGGTCTTAGTATTACATTTTGTTTACAAAGTTTCCTTCTGAGTTAACAGAAACAAAGAGATCTCTCTCTTCAGAAAGAGAAAAAAATAATATTGTGCCTTGAGAATGTCTTTCTAAGGAGGCTCAAATTATTTTTTGGAATAAGTTGGAGAATATATACATTTCTATAATGTTAAACATTTATTTGTATAATATTGAATGAAATACTTTCCCAAAATTTCCAAATACCATTTTTTGTCTTTAAATCTGTTGCAGAGAAACGCCACATCTTTTTAAACACTTCCTACCATCCATATTCCTCTGTTCATAATATGCCCTTTACTCGGAATGTCCACCATCATCTTTTATCTCATTCCATGTCTACATTTTCCTTTAATATATTCCCTCAAGAGGCTTATTCTAAATGTGTTTAACATTTAGGAATATAATTTTTTTCAGATCATTAACAAATATTTAGTGAACAAATTTCATTGCTTGGTATATTAAGATTATAAAGACAAGGAAAGAATAGAAGAAACTAGTGATTTATTAAACATCAGTATATACCAGACATATTACCGAGGTGTTTTCGCTTAATATCTCTTAATTCTTTTTATGTACAGTGGGACCTTGACTTATGAGTGTCCCGACTAACGAGTTTTTCGAGATACGAGCCGTCTCTCGGCCGATTTTTTGCTTTGAGTTGCGAGCTAAAATTCAGGTTACGAGCCAGCTTCAGATATCCCACCGCTAGTTGGTGCAGTGAACGTCACAGTGAACGCCACAACATCAGCCCAGCATTCAATTCATTGTAATGGTGAAAACTGATTTGACATACGAGTAATTTGAGTAACGAGCTCCGTCACGGAACGAATTAAAACTCGTAAGTCAAGGCCCCACTGTATAAGAAAACTTATACATAAAGTGGATTAAAGAGATGAAAGTCTCACAGCTAGTAACAAAGTGAGGTTGGAATTAAACTAGTCAATCTGCAAATGATAGCATCCTAACTAGTTTAGGGAAAATATAGTATAGGCCAGGGGTGGGCAACCTTTTTGTGAGTGCGTGCCAAAATCAGCAAAATCTCTGACTCAAAATTTTTCTGCGTGCCAACCCTAATTTTTTGAGAACATGTTATGCGTACTTGATATCTCTTAAGGTGTACGTATGTGAAGAACCTTGAAGAAATAATAAAATTCATTCGAGCGACAAAAACACAGTATATGAAGATGAAAAATACATTTATTTTTTAATGTATACATGTACACTGATAGTCTGACAGAAAACTTTATGACTCCATTTGATATTATTAGTGGGACTTTTGCTGCTGCATCACTGATGACAGAGATTTTACATCAAGTTTATATTTTGTGACCTTCAGAGATATGCACGAGCTACTACTTTCATCCGTCAGGCTACTCCTATTACGAGACTTAACAAAATTCATCACTGAAAACAAAGATTCACAAGAGTATGTGGATGAAAACATGGAGAGTAACGCTGTTGCAAAGTTTTTTAAACAGAAAAAAATTTCTGGAATGGTATTCCAAGTCCTCAATAGTTCGTTTTCGACACTATTGAAATTGCTCTTCCCCTCTCTCATCAATCCATGTCTATGGTCTTTAAGATAGCTTGTTATGTAAAATTATTTATTTATCTAAGATGCACCTATACTGAATTTATCTGAAAAATAAAAATGTCGATATTAAGAAAAAAATTGTAAATGGAAGATTGTAAGAGAGGGTTTCGCGTGCCAGCAAAAATTACTGGCATGCCATGTTTGGCACGCGTGCCAGGTGTTGCCCACCCCTGGTATAGGCATACCTCGGACATACTGCAGGTTCGATTCTAGCCATCACAATACAGTGAGCATTGCAATAAAGCAGGGGTCCTCAAACTTTTTAAACAGGGGGCCAGTTCACTGTCCCTCAGACCGTTGGAGGGCCGGACTATAGTTTAAAAAAAAACTATGAACAAATTCCTATGCACACTGCACATATCTTATTTTGAAGTAAAAAAACAAAACGGGAACAAATACAATATTTGTATTTGCATGTGGCCCGCGAGCCGTAGTTTGAGGACCCCTGCAATAAAGTAAGTCACAATCTTTTATTTGTGGAGGGTCTTCAATTGGTGAAAAGCATAACATCTGTCAATTGCAGTGAAACAAAGTGCAAAAAGATGAGGTATGCCTGTATTTATTGGAAAGATACTGGGGTATGACATCAGTCACAAAAAGAACAGGGATATAGTTGGTCCTCAAAAGGGAAGTGCTACCAGGGACACTGAGATGGCTAGGTTTTTTAAAAAAATTTGTTTCTCTTTTGTGCCATTTGGTTCCAGTCTCTCTTACTGCAGACCAAAAGAAATGCCAACAGTCCCAAGGCTTCATAGTTTAGAGTTGAGAACATTCCAGAGTTGAAAATTCAGTTTTCTATTCCTGAATTAATATCTTAAGGAGGTTGAGGAAGGACACATAGGAGACATGGCCACTGGAGTTCCAATCTTGTATATTAGGGTTATTGCCAGAAAAAGGTGGCTCAGTGTAAAGTGGGTAATACCATGCCAAGTAGCGTATATTGATATTTAAATCTATTTCCAAACTCACATTTTTGCCAATACTTTAATACAATGTATCACTGAGAAGATTTATAATGTATTAGTAGTTGCAGAAATAGGACCTATAGAATATAAGCAAGGAAGTATATGAAAAGCATGAAATAGTAAAAGGGATATAATATGTTCTGAATTATCACTTTAGTTTAGGATGAAGAGGCATTTGATATGGATGTTGAAAGATAAGCTCATTTTAGAAATAAATACTTTCCAAGTAGAGTATTCAATATAAACAAAAGTGAGAATAAGTGAAGCAAAGTCACTGTGAGGAGACCAATCTAGAAGAGTGCCCTGGATTCAAATCCTGATGCTTCTGATTATAAAACCAATGTTTCCATTGCACTTGACATTAACCAGTGTATAGAATAAGCACTAAATAAAATGCTCTGGAAGGTGTAGACAGATCAGTTTAGCAGCCCTGTATATGTGTACAATTAAAGGGCCTAAGGTAGTAGCATTAAGAAAGAATGGTATGGCTTTGAGAAAAAAAATGTAATCGAAATGTAAAGACTGTGAAAAATAAACAGGTTAGAACAAGTAGATTAGAGGAATGTTTAGTGTTACTGACTGATCTAGGAAAAGATCTTTTACAGGGATATTATTTGTTCTGACAGGGTTAAGGCGATAGAGAGCAATCTTAATTGAAATATACTGAGACATAAAAAATGGTAAAAAGTCAGAACTAGAGATTTGGGAGCAAGGTGTGAAACTTAGTGAGCTTTCAAAGGACTACATGTGCAAAAAAAAAAAATGTGAGCGGTGGACTAAAACTTATGAATACCCACACAGTTAGTATGAAGTAGAGGTGGAATTTTGGTTTTACTGCTAATGTTACTTGCCATCATTTTCTGTTTTGTGTTTTCTGTATGGTCTCTATAAGTAGACTATGCACACCTTCAAGCTGCCATTAGATTTAATAGTTGTATATGCTCGGATCAAAGTACATACTTAAAAAACACATATTTTCATCAGTTATTTTAATACTTATTAGATTATGATGCTCTATGTAACTTTAATGATATATTTTAAAGAATTCTAATTTGTTAAAATGTGATACCCAAATATATCAATTACTGGCATATCTTATGATTTCCTTTGCCTCAAAACTCACTACTTCACCTAATAACCTTGGCCATATGTTACAAAAGACTACCTGTGAAATACTTTCAATGGTCCCTAGCTTGTCTATATTGAAGGTACTGTGTGTTAACGGAAGAGCAGATAGATCATTTCAGAATTAGTAGTATAATATACTTTTAATGTGTAGTATTTTTGATATCTTAAAAGGTTGAAAATGAAAAATGTGAACCATGTATTTGCAGACAGTCTTATAGCACTGATTTCTAAATTTGCAAACAGGGTATTAATTAATGGCCACAGTTTATTCTTTTTAAGTATCATAATATTGGTACATTGGAATTAGAATTTGTTTTAACCAAGTACTAGAGATACCTTAGGTTTGTCAGCATACGATTGAAGTTCATTCCTTACCACTGCAAAATCAGTTTCTGTTCTCCCCTTACACCACCCCACCTCTAAGTTTTTATTAGTTTCATACAGGTAGAAGTAGTTTGGGGCTTAACATAATATCCATTTATACCCACTCTGTATACATCCCAGGGCACTATAGACTCAGTGAAAGAGAACTCATGTCTGTATTTTAATCAACTGTATTTTTGATATTTCTCTTGTTTTCTCATTTACAGGGAGTTGATTTTCATATGGAGTAAACTTCAGCTTAAGTCTAATCCTTCAAAACAAGTTTTTGTAGATCAATGCTACCAGCTTTTAAGAACAGCAACTAATGTGAGAGTCATATTTCCTTTCATGAAAATCATTAAAGATGAGGTAAATAGGATATATTTACCCTTCATTTCAAACGAAATTTAAATGACAGTTCACTGAATCTTGAGTGTCTTATGACAGAATTAATTTGATTATAAATTTGAAGAGGAGGATATAATTAAATAAGTTTGTCACTTTTGTAGAGTTTTAACTAATTTGCAGGCGGACTTTATATATCTATAGGCAATACCTGCTCACTGTTTTAAAGAAATACAGCTCAGCCCTAGAAGGTTAGGCTCAGTGGATAGAGCATTGGCCTGCAGACTGAAAGGTCCTGGTTCAAATCCAGTCAAGGGCACATGCCTGGGTTGCAGGCTCGGTCTCCAATAGGGGGCGTGCAGGAACCAGCCAGGCAATGATTCTCTCTCATTATTGATGTTTTTATCTCTCCCTTCTCCCTTCCTCTCTGAAATCAATAAAAATATATTTTTTAAAAATACAGTTCATAGTTTTAAGTCTGGTGTTTAGGTGAAAAGAAACCATGAATACGAGGTATTTTTGGAACTTAAGGACACATTTTTAAAGTGTTTATTTTAGGTAATAGTATAAATCCATTATCTGTTTTTAAAAATAGTTCTGAAGTTTTTGATGGGTCACTTGCAAGTGAGTACAATTCTACATGACTTACGTAGATATGAAAATAGATCCTGCAAAATCCCTTAACTTTTCCCCTCAATTATTAACAATTTTGAATACAAAGATAGAAAAAATAAAGCTACCCTACTTTTTTTGGGGGGGGGGTTAATCCTCACCCAAGGATATACTTCCATTGATTTTGAGAGAGACTGGAAGAGAAGGGGAGAGACAGAGAGAGAAAAACATTGATGTGAGAGAGACATATTGATTGGCTGCTTCCTGCACATGCCCCGACCAGAGCTGGGGATTGAGCCCTCAACTGAGGCTGTGCCCTTGACCGAATTCAAACCCAGGACCCTTCAATGCTCAGGCCAACGCTCTATCCACTGAGTCAAACTGGCCAGAACTACCCTACATTTTAACTAAATCTTTATGTGGGTTACTTTTAAATGTATAAGGAGGCATCCATTAAATAATATATATTTTTCTTACATATTTATGCATTTATCACATCACTCATTAGATGTAAACCATGTAGTGATCATATTTCCATGATATAAAGTTGGCAGCATTATATCAGAGGTGTGTTTTGTTTCCTATTTATTTTGCTAACGGCTTTAATAGCTATGAAATGTCATTCAAATGCATCGCATCGTTAAAGTTAACCTCTCTCCATACCAAAAAAGAGGGAAAAAAACCCCAAAGTATGCTATAGAATACTTACCAACATTCAGAGTGCATCAGAGTCACCTGTAAAACATTTCTAAAAATAAAGATGTATCTGTATTTTTTTACATGATTCTCATTTGCATAAAAAAATTGAGAGACTTTGTTAAAGAAAGTTTATAATATAGGTGAAGTTCAGCCAGTTATCATAAAGCTTTCTTGTTTTCACAATTTTCACAAGTCTGGTCAACCTAAGAATACATTATAAGAGGAAAAATTCTCAAAGATGAAGTCAATATTAAAAATGTGCTTAATTTTTTACTGTCCTAAAGAGGTTTTTATTAATGGAATAGGGTCACTCACATGCCTCCGTGCTATGAAAAGAGGCACAGACAATGCTGTATGAGTTCAGGAGGAGACATTACAGATGGCATATTTGAAAGGCTTCACAGTAGAAGATGCTTTCAGCTGTGTTTTGAATGATAGAGGAGGATAATACTAATATTTTTATTTTAGAGCACTTTTGCCTCATTATTTGTTTCTCACAACTGTCCAGTCTCATTAATAGTGTAGCAGAGAAACCTGGGGAAAGTGTGTAGGAGATGAAATTAATCAGAGGGACTGCAGGAGGTGGGGGTGGGTTTGCTGTTGGAACTTCAGTCTGTAAATATAATGGAATTGTTAGAGAATTTCAGGTAAGGAAATGTCCTGTTCCCTTTTGTCCTTTTACAATGAAATTTTTAAACTTAGGCAACTGGATATATTATAACTTCATTTGAAGCAAGAGGAGGAATTCTGTTTGGAAGCAGTGAATTTTGAATTTGTCCTATCTGGAAAATCTAGGTGGGAATATCTAATTGTAACAGACAATTAGCAAAAGGCAATTTTTTTTGAATTCAGAAAAGAATTTCAAGCTGGAAATGATGGATTGATAGGAAAGAACTAAATTCAGTGGAATAGATCTGATCCCATTTACTCTGTAAACATTTACTCAAAGGTCACTATATGCCAACTTCTATGCTAATCATAGGAGGATATAAAAAATGAGATACTGTATTACTTAGGAATTCAAAGTGATTCCTAGGAATTTAAGAATTCAAAGTCAGAAGCATGGTCACACACAGATTGTTATGAAACAATATATACATGCTTTTTAGAAATAAGTATAAGTTATTCTCAGTGGAAAGAATGGGGAATGTTTAACTCTACCCCAGGGCAGGGGCCAGAAAGAATGGTGAGAAAAACTTTCAGAGTAGAACTGATTCTCAAAGAATGAATTGGAGATGGGTAGGAATTTACCAACTAGATAAAGTGGGATTATGATGTGAAAATTAAGGTCTTCTTGTGGAACTGTAAGTAGTTAAGCAGGGTTACATAACATTTAAAGGATTAAGAGGATGTGAGCATGGTAAGGTAGTCTTCCTCTCTGTCATCTATAATATACCATATGCCGGCAGTATGATGTACACATACACACAGTTTTAAAGACATCACTTTTGTACTTCTTTCTATTCAAACAAGCATTTTGATAACTCTAAATCATTAGCAGTGTTATTTATAGCTTGAATTAGCGTGGGCAGACAATAGATCCCAAGTAAAAGCTTATGCAGTTATCTTTGAGAAGTAAAAATTTCAAACCTTGAATAATTTGCAGATAACTTCCAGTAGGTTCATTGTTCTCATACCTTATTAGATTTGGAAGGATTATAATTGCCCTTTCCATGTGGCCTATACTTCTCCCCTTATTTGGATAATAATACTTAAGTAACAGAAGTAATATTATCCAGTGCAGCTTCATGAAAGAGTTTCCACAAGCAGTTCTCTTTTTAAAAAAAGTCTAGTTATTTTTTAAGATCAAAATTTGATAAATGTGTTTAAATACATATAATGTAACCCTTCTGCCACAGAATGTGAGGTAAGTACATAAACAGAATCTAGATTTGTAAGAAACTACTCCTCATAAGTTTATGAAGCACTTTGTATTTTAAATCACCATAAGGTTATGAAGCTTTCTGTATTATGATTAACTAGAGGCCCGGTGCACGAAATTCATATACTTGGGAGGGGGGGGTGTGGTCCCTCAGCCCAGCCTGCGCTCTCTTGCAGTCCGGGAGCCCTCAGGGGGTGGTTCGACTGATGGCTTGGGCCCACTCCCTGTGGACTGTCAGTTGGAGATCCTTAGTGTTGCCATGGAGGCGGGAGAGGCTCCCGCCACCACCACTGCACTGCCACCCATGAGCCCAGCTTCTGGCTGAGCAGCACTCCCCCTGTGGGAGCGCACTGACCATTAGGGGGGAGCTCCTGAGTTGAGCGTTTGCCCCCTGGTGGGCAGTGCACGTCATAGCGACTGGTCATTCCACCATTTGGTCGATTTCCATATTAGTCTTTTATTATATAGGACTAGAGGCCCGGTGCACAAAAATTTGTGCACTCGGGGGGGAGGGAGGGGTCCCTCAGCCCGGCCTGTGCCCTCTCGCAGTCTGGGACCCCTCAGGAGATAACGACCTGCTGGCTTAGGCCTGCTCCCAGGTGGCAGAGGGCAGGCCCAATTCCTAGGTGCAGCCCCTGGTCGGGCTCAGAGCAGGGCTGATTGGGGAGTTGGGGCACCGCCACGTCATGCACAGAGCAGGGCGGATTGGGAGGCTGCGATGCCACCTTCAGTCACACTCAGGGTAGGGTCGATTGGGGGGTTGGGGCACCGCCCCCTGTCACACTCAAGGCAGGGTCGATGGGGAGGTTGCGGCACCACCGCCTGTCACACACAGAGCAGGGCCAATCAGGGGGTTGGGGAGCTCCCCCCTGTCACTCACAGAGCAGGGCCGATAGGGGAGTTGGGGCACTGCCCCCCGTCACGCATAGAGCAGGGCCTGTCAGGGGGTTGGGGAGCTCCCCCGTGTCACGCACAGAGCAGGGCCCGTCAGGGGGTTGGGGAGCTCCCCCCTGTCACGCACAGAGCAAGGCCCATCAGGGGGTTGGGGAGCTCCCCACATCATGCACAGAGCAGGGCCAATCAGGGGTTTGGGGCTCCGTACCCTGTCACGAACAGAGCAGGGCCCATCAGGGGGTTGGGGAGCTCCCCCCTGTCACGCACAGAGCAGGGCCGATCAGGGGGTTGAGGAGCTCCCCCCTGTCACTCACAGAGTAGGGCCGATAGGAGAGTTGGGGCACCGCCCACTGTCACACACAGAGCAGGGCGGATCAGGAGGTTGGGGCGCCGTCCTCTATGACCCACAGAGCAGGTCCAAACGGGGTTGGGGCGCTGCCCTCTATCACCCACAGAGCAGGGACCATCAGGGGGTTGTGGCGCCGCGACTCTCACACTCAGGGCAGGGCCGATGGGGAGGTTATGGCTCTACCCCGTCACACACAGAGCAGGGCCGATCAGGGTGTTGGGACGCCACACCCTGTCACACACAGAGCCGCAGGGCGATCAGGGGGTTGGGGAGCTCCCCCCTATCAGGCACAGAGCAGGGCTGATCAGGGGGTTGGGGCGCCTTCCCCTGTCATGAACAGAGCAGGGCAGATAGGGAGGTTGTGGCCCCGCCCCCTGTCACACACAGAGCTGCAGGGCGATCAGGGGGTTTGGGTGCTGCCCCCTGTCATGCTGATCCCGGTGCCGGGAGACCTCGCGGCTCCGCTGATCCCGGTGCTGGGAGGCATATTACCCTTTTACTATATAGGATAGAGGCCTGGTGCACGGGGGGGGGGGGGGGGGGGGGGCGGCTGGTTTGCCCTGAAGGGTGTCCTGGATCAGGGTGGGGGTCCCCACTGGGGTGCCTGGCCAGCCTGGGTGAGGGGATGATGGCTGTTTGCAGCTGGTCACACACCCTTCAGGGTGGGGGTCCCCACTGGGGTGCCTGGCCAGTCTGGGTGAGGAGCTGAGGGCTGTTTTCAGGCTGGGGGTGACTGAAGCGCCCAATCACTCCTTTTTTTCTTTTTTTATTCTGGGCCAGCTTTAGCTTTGAGGCTTGGCTCCAGCTCTTAGGCCTCCGCTGCTGAAAGTAGGTTTCTGGCCTTTGCTTACAATGTTGCGATCCTGCTGGCTGAAGCCCAGCAGGTTTCTGGGGTTTTGTTTAGCTTCTATGTTTGTTACATAGTTGCTTGCAGCTCAGAGGCCTGCAGCAGCAGGCGGGGAACATTGGAGCCCTCCTTCACTGAAGCAAGCAAGCCTCATATTAGTTTCAAGCTGCCTGGCTGCCAGCCGCCATCTTGGCTGACAGTTAATTTGCATACTGCCGTGATTAGCCAATGGGAAGCGTAGCGGTTGTACGCCAATTACCACGTTTCTCTTTTATTAGATAGGATAGGACTAGAGGCCTGGTGCACGAATTCATGCATCAGTGGGGTCCCTTGGCCTGGCCTGCAGGATTGGGCTGAAACTGGGTCTCTGACATCCCCCAGGAGGCCCCGGATTGTGAGAGGGCACAGGCCAGGCCAAGGGACCCCACTGGTGCAGGATCAGGGCCGGGGAGGGATGCGGGAGGTTGGCCAGCCAGGGAGGGACACGGAAGGGCTCCAGGGCGTGTCTGGCCCATCTTGCTCAGTCCCAATTGGTCAGACCCCAGCAGGAAGCTAACCTACCAGTCGGATAATCTGCCCCCTGGTGGTCAGTGCACGTCATAGCTAGTGGTTGAGCAGCCTTAGCATATTGTTAGCATATACACTTTGATTGGTTGAATGGCTGACTGGACACTTAGCCTAAATAGGATAAGTCTTAACAAACTTTAAATAAATTGGAAGTGAAAATGCTATCTTTTGCAAATTATTCTCAAGTTTAAAAAGATTTATTTACATATTACAAAAGATTTAAGGCTACCCATTAAGGAAAATTGTACATTTGAAATACTGTATTTAGCTTTCATTTCAGAGTTGTAATTTAAAAAGATAAACTGGTTTGTGTAATATTTAAAAGGTATTTAATAGTAATATATATATATATTTTTGTTTTTATTCAGGTTGAAGAAGAAGGCTTACAAATTTGTGTTGAAATATGTGGTTGTGCTCTACAACTAGACCTTCATGATGATCCCAAAACTAAGTGTCTAATTTATAAAACAATTGCACATTTCTTGCCAAATGATTTGGAGATCCTCAGGATTTGTGCACTCTCAATATTTTTTCTTGAGCGCTCCTTGGAAGCTTATCACACTGTTGAAGAGCTTTACAAATGTCCAGATGAAGAATATAATGAAGGCACCAGTAGTGTTCAAAATCGTGTTCGTTTTGAATTACTTCCAATTTTGAAAAAGGGATTGTTTTTTGATCCTGAATTCTGGAACTTCGTAATGATTAAGAAAAACTGTGTAGCATTACTGAGTGATAAATCAGCAATCAAATTTCTAAATGAAAATACACTGGAAAATTCTATAGGTAATCTAAAAAAGACATTGGAACAGAAATGTTTAGATGAAGGTGTAGACTCTTTTACAGATCAAAGCACTGGAGAGCTTGATCCTGATGATATATCTGGAGTACAACCTAAAGGCCATGTTAACACAAAGAAAAACCTTACTGCTCTTAACACTTCTAAAGTAGACCACAGTGTCCCAAGGCATCGGTGTATGTTATGTAATAAGGAATTTCTAGGCGGTCACATTGTAAGGCATGCCCAGGCTCATCAGAAAAAGGGCAGTTTTTCCTGTGTTATATGTGGTAGGAAATTTAGAAACAGAGGACTTATGCAGAAGCATTTAAAAAATCATGTTAAAAAAATACAAAGACATCAAATTACTGTAGCTCAACAGGAGGATCAGGAAACTCCTGCTTTGGAAGAAATAAACTTTTCCAATTCTTCAATTTCATTTGAAAATGGAGATTTTGATAATAAAGATTTGGAAATACCGACTATTAATACTTCCAGTGATGGAAACGAAGCGGTCATCCCTGAGCATGTGGCTGAATTCACTGAAATTCCCATAAGTGTATCAGAAGATGTCATTGAAAACATTGAAAATGGCAGTCCTGACACTTATATAAATAATGTATTGGAACCTTTAACTGTATGTGAGGATGATTACGAGGAGGAAGATGATGAAGAAGGTGATTATGAAGAAGATGATTATGACCTGAATCAAGAAACTCCAGCACTTCATAAAATTAATGGAACTTTGTGCCATCCAAAAGACATATATGATATAGATCAAAAAGGAAACTTTAAGTGCCCTGCTCTTGGTTGCGTTAGGATATTTAAAAGAATTGGATTTCTCAATAAACATGCAAGGACTGCACATCCAACTGACTTAAATGTGCGGCAAACGGTAATGAAGTGGAGCAAAGGAAAATGCAAATTTTGTCAAAGGCAGTTTGAAGATTCTCAGCATTTTATAGATCACCTTAATAGACACAGCTATCCAAATGTGTACTTTTGTTTGCATTTTAACTGCAATGAATCGTTTAAGCTGCCATTCCAGCTTGCTCAGCACACAAAAAGTCACAGGATATTTCAGGCCCAGTGTAGTTTTCCAGAATGCCATGAGCTTTTTGAAGATCTTCCTCTGTTATATGAACATGAAGCTCAGCACTATTTAAGTAAAACACCGGAATCATCTGCACAACCAAGAGAAGCAGTTGCTTGGGATGTTCTTACAGACTCAAATAATAGTTTTCAGGAAAAAGACTCATCTAGTAATGAGAAACAAGCTATTAGCCTGCCAGTTTGTCCTAGCAAATCAAGGAAAGATTCTACAGAACCAAAGACATGTATAGACAGTATGGAAAAGAAGACAGACAGTTTAGTTCAGAATGGAAATGAACATTCTGATGACACTGTTTCTGATATAAGCTTGACAGACCAAAAGATGCCTGACCTAGAGCCAAATTCTGAAAATAATTGTAGTATTATTGATTTAGTCAATGGACACGGAATAGAACAGACATCTTTAGTTTCATCAGGTTCTGCTTTGAAAATTGATACAAATAGAATCAGAACAGAAAATGGCTCCATTTTACCCAATGTTGTATCACAAGAACACAGTACCCTGCCAGTATCTCAGGCACCATCCAAACCAAATCTAATGAGTGAACATACTTCATATGGCTTAATTTTATCAAAGCCATATGTCAGACCATTGCCTCCCAGTTACCTTGATGAACGGTACCTTAGTATGCCAAAACGCAGAAAATTTCTGACTGATAGAATAGATGCCTGTTCTGATCAAGATAACATTTGTAAAAAATCAGTGAAAAGATTAAGATGTGGCAAATGCCTGACCACCTACTGTAATGCAGAAGCACTTGAGGCTCACCGTGCACAAAAGAAATGTCAGGCACTCTTTGGATTTGATTCAGATGATGAAAGTAAGTCTTCTATCTTCTCAGTAGGTATATCTGTAGAAATAGAAAATGCCACAGGTCTTTAAAGTTAACATTTGTATAGCATCCTATATAATAAAAGCGTAACATGCAAATTGACAGGACTGCAGAATGTGGGGTGCAGGGCAGGCGGCACCAGGCCAGCCAAGGCACGTGCCAGTGGGCAGAGGGAGGGAACGACGGTGGGGGGGTGGGGTGACCAGCAGCAGCAGAAGGGCGATAGGGGGGTCTGACACCGTCCCCTGATCGGCCCATCAGGTCGCCTCCCGCATAGGGAGGCTGGACAGTGGCAGGGTAATGGGGGCGGCGGCGGTCCCTGTCCAGTCACCTCCTGCAGAGGGAGGCCAGACTATGGCTCAGGGAGCAGGCCTGTGCCATCAGTAGGACATCCTCTGAGGACTCCCAGACTATGAGAGGGCGCAGGCCGGGCTAAGGGACCCCCCCACCCTCCAGTGCATGAATTTTTGTGCACTGGTCCTCTAGTAGATAATAAAGCACTAACTATACATTTCCTTTAGTCTATACAACCATTATAAGGTGATGTCCCTATTCCTGTTTTATAGATCAAACTCAAATTCACAAGTTAAGTAATTTGCATAGGCACAGGCCTATGAACTTGTGGGAGCCAGAACTTGTACACAGGTTTTCCATCTCTTTGATCATTTTCACTGTATTTGAAGCTTTTCTTCATTCTAGGTTTCATGTACTTAAGGTTCTAGAAACAAAGTAATTATGATGGAAATGTTTTTCATCTGCATGCTGTATTATAATCCAAGTGAAACTGAGCCTCTTTACAAATACAATTTAAAAGAATCAGAAAATAAATGAAAGACAAAAATGAGCAGAAGAACTTGCCTGCCTTTTTACCGCTATCAATATTCTTTCAATGTGTAAGGGTGTAAATAAACAGGAATCTGACTTAGAGTTCCAGTTGAACATCTATACAATTTGAATTAATAGACATGTTTTGTTTTACAGGTGCCTGATAAAAATGTATCAGAAAGATCTGTCGATCAAGCAGTAGTGTGAAAAAAGCACTACAAGAAAATGCATCATCAGTTTGCTATTTCCCTGACGGCCTTAATTTTAGAGTGGTCTAGGATTAGTTAAAGACAAAGCACATTGTCTAGAATGAACTCACAGCGATGTGCTAGTTCAGATTCCAAAAGGGTTATTACAAAACTCCCAAAGTACCAGTTATCCAGAAAACCACATTTTAAAAAAAAGTTCATGAGATTAATAGCAGCACGTTCAGTTTCGCTTAAGTGAGAAACTTGTTCAGGCAACTAGTCAGAAAGAGAAGCCAGCTATGGCCTTACAGAAAGGGAGTTAACCCATTTGAAAAGGGGGAGGGGTTGGTTTACAATAAACAACTTAAAGTATTCTACAAATGGGATGGTTTACTTGTCATGTATAATCAGATTTTGACCTCCCTTCTGATCAAACATGGCTTAAGGAATCACTACTGGGTTTATTATAATTTAGAAACTGATACATGAAAATAAAACTTGATTTATCACTGTTCTATCCATAAAAGATTGTAACTTGTTTCCAGATGATTGAATAGACAGGTCAAAGTTCAATGTATGGCATGCCAGTATTTAAAACTAAAAAACCAAAAGACAAAACAGTGCTTTGCTGGAACCTTCCACTTTCCATTTTTGTGATACCAATGAATTATAAAGGCAGCAGTGTCAATTAAATAGAAAAAGTACCATTGGTAACTTTGGGGATAGATGGGAGGAATTTTAAGACCATTAAAGGCTATCTAGTTGGTGGAAAACACTGAATTGCAAATTCCTCAATGTGAATAATGGTATAAGCACACTGGGATATTTCTATTTGTATATAGAGTAGTGTTGGGACATTGCTTGATGATTCATAGTAAGGTCCTTTAGACATTAATGTGAGTTATCTAAGTACAGTCCTATAAAAACTGGCTGTAAAAAATATGTAAGCTAAGAATCAGGTCAAGAACTCATTGGTTTTATTCATTTAGAATAGTTAGTTATAAAATAAGCCATACTACTCATGCTTTCTTATTTATTAGTGATAGATTTGGTCTGATTGATGATTTTTATATATATATGAAAGGAAATATTTACATAAAAATTTGCACAGCAAGAACACAGTAAGATATATTGATGCATTTATTTTCCTTGATGACCAGTAATTTTCCTAAGGAAGATTTTAACTTAATAAATTAATACAAAAAATGTTTTTAAAAATACCCTCTCAGATGTGTTCTACTTGTACATTCTCTAAAAGAGGAAGGCTAAAGACCTTTTATCTAATAATGTGTTAATCTATAGCAGGGATAAAATGAAAAAATGCAAAGGCAAATTCTTCAAAAACTGGGCTAGTAATGTACCAATGTCAACCAAATAAATATTCTAGTATTCCAACTGACACATTTTTGTTCAAAGCAGATAATCTGATCAGAGCCTACTATATCCATATATTTTGAATATTAAACTTTGGCATATTAAAGTTTCTTGAATGAAGTTACCAAGCAAGTGGGACATTTCTTCCAGGGCATCATCTAGACCAATGATGGCGAACCTATGATACGCGTGTCAGAACTCATTGTTTTGGTTGATTTTTCTTTGTTAAATGGCATTTAAACATATAAAATAAATATCAAAAATATAAACCTTTGTTTTACTATGGTTGCAAATATAAAAAAATTTCTATGTGACACGGCACCAGAGTTAAGTTAGTGTTTTTCAAAATGCTGACACGCCGAGCTCAAAAGGTTCGCCATCACTGATCTAGACTATTGAATTAAGATTTCCAAGTCACAATAGATCATGGTAGGTCAGATATCTAAAAAATTTCCCAATTTTATTAGCTTAGTTATCATGTGCATTCATTACTATACAATTGACAGTCATAAATCCATTCCAATAAAATTTAGGTTTTTTGTTTTTTAATTTTATTTTTATTGTAGCCTACATTAGGCTGTGGAATTTACATTTAAATTGCATAAGTAAACACAAATCAATTAGATTTTTTAATTCTTTAAGGTCAACTTAAAATCTTTTCCATACTCCCTTGACACTAAAAATATAATACTTGAGATCTACTTCAGTTTAGTCTAAAATAATCATGTAATTAAGTCTGTCTGGAAACTAGTTCATTTGGAAAATAAAGTTATTTTTGAAATATAGTTTCTGCTTCATTTTCCGGAAGTTTAACATTACCACTTAACATTTTTAACTCTTTACTTTTTTGCAAGTTGAAACTATCACATCTACAAATTATTTTCATTCATTTTGCAGTTCATACCAAGATGTTTTTAAATATATTGCATATGTTATTTTATGTCTTTGAGGTTTTATTTCTATTATGTTGCTAAGAGAAAACTTTGGGAGATTGATCAAATCGGTTTATACATAAATCAAGGAATGTCTTATAAAATTCTATTTGAACACACTGTTCTCACTCTTTATATATTTCTCAGATAATTGTTATTGAAAGAATGTGTACATTTTATGTATGTTTTATAAAACACAAACTTACGTCATTTTGCTTGTAGAGGATGCTTAAACTTCCAACAATTCTAGTTTGGGATCCAGAAGAAAAGGAAGCTTTCTTCCTCAATTTATTCTCTTTTTTACTCCTTCTGTTTTGAGGATATGTTTAACTTACATGGACCAAGTTTCAATCCTATGTTTTTAAATAAAAAAAAATTGCCTTCAAAACATTACATACTAACTTTTTATGTTTCAGTAAGGTCAAGAAAATAGCAAATCTGAATTTTTGCTGCTCAGATATTTTGGGAGAGGTAAAAAAGAAATCTCCGTGGACAGGGACACTGGTACTTTGGGCTTTAGCCATATTCGTTTTTTTAAACCACCAATTATATAATGAGTAGATAATTTATAACATTGAACTTGTGATTCTTCTGAAATCACACTTGAAGGTTCAGCCGTACTCCTTTTGTGTTTGGTTTAAACTGTTGTATGGATGAAAAACCTAAAAGGGATGATAGTGTTTATTTTTTAATTTATTTGGTACTGTAAAACACCTTTCAGAATGACTAAATGCTGCATATGCATTTTGGAATTGTTAATATGTGAAAGATATTACAGTTTCAGCAAGAAAGGAATTTGTGCTTCCTTGTTGAACATTAAATTATTTTACTTTGCATTTTATAAGAGTACAAATTAAAACTGAGCCATTGAACTGCAATAAATCAACAATAGTGTCTCATTTCAAGAAGTTTTTTGTACTGTACATAGATTTGTTCAATAAAACATTGTTCTTATTGGTAATGAAGTGTTCATTTTTTTAAGCTGCTTTATTTTTTTAAAATATATTTTTATTGATTTCAGAAGGAAACGGAGAGAGAGAAAGAAACATCAATGATGAGATCATTGATCAGCTGCCTCCTGCATGCCCTCTACTAGGGATCAAGCCTGAAATCAGGGCATGTGTACTGACCAGGAATCGAACCACAGAGTCACACCGGCTGGGCAGAAGTGTTCATTTTTGTGTAACACAACCCTTCAAAGGAAATAGGCTTAATATATATATTAAATAAGAAATTTCTATTATGTCTGATAAGAGAATGAGGTATTTCAGTTCATATCATGTTTAGATTATTAAGTGATTTTAAAAAATATAGAAAAAAATAAATATAAGTTTAAGTAGACCTTTTTAGAAATTATTTTAACTAATGTCCACATGTAGGAATTACACATTGATAGAATGCTGGTTACTGAAGTCATTTCAAGTAAATGGCTTCAGTGTGAGGTAGGTGGAAGACAACTATCAGAAGCGAGACTGGATGGATTTGTTTACGTTGGTAATTCTTCAAAGATGAAGAGCTTTTGCTGGAACTTAAAACAAAAACTGAAGTCATTTGGAAATAAGATGTAAATAATGATGAAAATTAACCACCTACAAAAACATTTCAATGGGAAAATGTCTAAGCCAATTAATCTGTCTAAAAGTGAGGGCTCCTACATTTTTGGTTCACTAACAAAGGAAAACCCTCTCCACTTTGCTATAACTTGCAACTGGAAAAAAATGGGCCTGATGTAGAAAAAGGACCTCTTTAATGTGATGAGATAGTACTGCAAATGACAGAACATATACTGTGTTAAATACACTGTTTTGTACATGTTACAAATGTTATGCTTTGAAAAACACTATGAGAAAGTTATTAAAGCATAGAGTTGAGATCTAGAATTCTCAGTCTATGATTTATGAATATATGGTCTTAGACTATTAAATGCTTTGAGGTATTTAGATAAAATTATTGGAGTTATCTATACTTTTTTCCTGAAACTTGAGGAATTTTGAGAAGCAATCAAATATTACTAAGTACCTTTCAAATAAATAGGTTGTTTTTTATAGCGTAAGATCCATGCTGATTTCAAGAACCAACTGATAACAGAGACAAGTTTTGGCTCTTCATCAAGATTTGCAATGGAGGCAATCTAATAGTACATGGAATAAAAATTAAAAGTGCAAGAGAAGTTCATGCCTTATGGGTCCAACACACTGGAGAAGAAATGGCTTCTTGTTTTACTAAATTACTGTGTACAAACTATATGTGTAACCCCTAATTGTTAAAACAACAATAGATAAGAACACTGCTTTTTAAAATCAAGATTCAGAAAGGTTAAAGTCAGATAGCTAATAAATAGGTGGAACTGAAAAGTCAGATGTGTCCTAAAACCATAATCCAGTTTCCATTCTGCCATGCTGTTTTCCCTACAAATATAGATCATGAGTGGATCTAATACATTCAAATTGAGAGGGCCAGACTTGCCTGAGGATCAGTGATTTCAGAGACAAAGGATGAAGTCGGCTAAAGACAGCTATTTGATATTTTATTCTCTTCTACCGCAGTATGGTCACCAGTGGTCTCCAAAGCAGCAGAATCTCAGAACTTGTTAGAAATGCTAAATTTTGGTCAGGTGAGGGACCAATCTGTTTTTGAGAAATCCTCCAGGTGATTGATATACACTAAGATTTGAAAACTGCAGACCTAAAGCAACAATGTTCTTCATTATTTCCCTAGAGGAGATAAACTATGTTGCCTTAAATTCAATCTTTTCAGAAGCTCAGTTTCCAGGAAATTTGAAGAAGTACTTAACTACTTTGGGGTGAATGGATATTTTAATAGTAAGACCTAATACCCCAAACCACTCTAATCAAGAAAACTTTTCTTTCCTCAAAACCATTCAGTAAGTGAAACTGCCAGAACATGATTTAATGGAAACAGCCCATAGAGGTGTGGGGATCGGGCTCAATTCCCGATAGGGGATGTGTAGGAGGCAGCCAATCAATGCTATGCTATGCTTTGATATCGATGTTTCTCTCCCTCAAGATCAATTTTTTTAAAAATCTTAAAAAAAAAAAAACAAAAAAAAAAACAGCAAGGGAACCACTGCGACTAGACTGGAGTGAGAGTGAGAGAATAACTGGAAGTGAAGGCAGGAAGGTAAAAATATAAAAGCCAAAGTCTATAATGGCAGGCAAGGCTCTATCTAATACAGTAGCCACTAGCCACATGTGGCTATGAAAATATAATTAAAATTAAAATAAAATGTAAAATTGAGTTCCTCAGTTGTATTAGTGCCTGACAAGCCGATGCTCAATAAATACATGTTCCGAATGATATGAATGAAAAAGTTGGGCATGCCATCCATGTGGTTCCACACCAGTCTGATGAGCAACTACTTGTCATGTTTTACTTGCCAAACTCCCAAAAGGTCCTCTGTATCTTCAATACCTAGCATACTAGGCACTCAGTAATGCTTAACGAGAAATGATCTGGTATCTGTTTAGTAAAACACCCAAACAGCATCCACCGCCAAATTAGATTAAGGATCCTGTGAACGCCTGTTCTGAAGACTACATTCAAAGTACAGTTTATGACTGATATTTCGCTGTGTTTTTAAAAAAATATTAAATTTGCTCACGGGATCTGCATATGTGTCTACATTTCAGCTACTAAATGGCAATACACTAATTAAATATAGACGAATCTAAAACACGGCTTAAAAACGGAAGAGACAGAGGCAAATGTTTTAAATCTGATCCCTAACCGGACTTCCCGCGGAGCATGACTTTCCCTCCCGTGAACGTGGGCTGCTGTCGTCGGAAGGGTATCAGTGACGCTAACAGTTGTTGAGCTCTTTCTTTCTAAGGGCAGGCACTCTTCTTCACCCCCGCCCCCCTCGCCAGCAAGCCCACACTGGCATCTCTACTAGCTCCGTTTCGAGACAGGCTGAGGGACAAGTGTCTAAAGAGCTCGCCCACGGTCGCCGTGGCCTCCGGCGTCCAGCACTTAACCTGCTGCTACCGCCCCTCTCGGACCTGGTCTGCGGGGACCGGAACGCGAGCGAAGCCGCCCCCGCCGGAGGGGAGCCAGCTGGCAGGCGTGGCATAGGAGAGGTGATTTTAAAAAACACACCCGAAAAGCTTTCCATACTATGATGTTCAAACCAAATTATTTTAACACAGTACCACGCAACTCAAGAATACCAAACTGCGGGCACGCCCAACTTGGAAGTAGCAGAGGCGGACTTTCAACCGCTCCCGGGGTCAGGCCGGCGGGCGGGGAGGAGGCGCCTCCATTGGCCGGGCCCGGGGCATCACGGGAGTTCGCCGTACATCCAGGCCGGCGCTCGCTTTCACGCACCTGCACCTACGCAGCCCTCCCGGGCGCTCTTTTGGAGAAGGAACTCCTAAAGCTTTCAGGGCATCACTTCCCGCAACCAGCTGCCTTATGGAAGGTCGATGTTCTCAGTGTAAATGCGCTGCTTTCCTAAAGTGAGATTCAAGGGACTCGCTCCGTCCTGGCCAGCCCGGAACGACAAGTTGGAACCCCGCGTTTCCTGATCGACCTCATTGGTGGGATCACTTCCGCCCAAGGGTTTGGAATACCCGAGGCGCTTGGCGGCGAACACCCGGAAAGGCACTTCCGATGCCTGTTGCCAAGGCGCCGGCCCCGTGGGCCTAAAGGAGCGACATTATTGGCGTCGTCCTCTCCCCCCTTCCAGGGGGTCGAGATGTCGGGGCTCAGCTGCCCAGAGAGAGAGGGCTGTCGTAACCTGCTCGGCCTGCTGGATACCGACGAGATCATGGCCCTGTGCGACACCGTCACCAGCCGCCTGGTGCAGCCTGAAAACCGCCAAGGTGAGGAGAGACCCCCACCCCCAAGGGCGGTCGCCCTCCCCGGCCTCCCGGGCCCGCGGGTCGCGGCGGCGTGGGCGTGGGCGTGGAGGGGGAGCGCGGCCTCGCCCCCGCCCGTCGGGACCGCGCTGGACCGAGCCGGCGGGAGTCTGGGCCCCCGCAGCCTCGGACGGCCCCGCTGCGCCATTCCCCCCCGGGAGGCTGTGACCCTGAAAACGGCGCTGGCTTTACCCCTTGAACAATGTAGGCAAATGCTTGTTTAGAGAACGTGAATAGTCATTAAAAAAAAAAAAAAAGGAACCATTTTGAGGAACCATTTTGTTTCGATCAGCTGAGCGTCAGCTGTTAGCCGCTCAGGCACTTTCGAGCTTGTAAGGGAATATCAGACATTTTGTTCCATCTCCGGATAAAACAGATTATTACTGTAATAAAAGCGGGTGTTTGAATTCATCTATGTTCTTGGATCCAGGTTTTTTTCTGAGATTTTATGTAGAAACACATTGCTTCAAGAGTTATTAAACATAAGCCTGACTGTAACGAGTCCGGATAAAAATGCAATGAGTAGCTTAATAGTTTGTTTCATTTTATATACCACCTGGCCAGCTTTATTCTAAACTTGCTGGATTTTACTTTAAAATGTCAAAATTCCAGCCCCCTATAGTAGTAAGTGACTTATTTTATAAAAGACGCCGCTTTTTAACACTGTACTTTTCTACTTAAGTCAGATTTACATTTTGATCATTTAAGAAAATCTCTCATTTGAAACTTCGAACCATGAACATTGAAAGCAGAAATTCCTAAGAGAATGGTTTTAGACCTAATGTAGTTCTTCAGCTTTTACGTCTTTTACATAATCACCTCTAAAGTCATAGTGAGTGAATTTAAAATTGTAATACATCGAAATGCTGGATTTACTTGGTTCCCAGTACAAGAATGTGAAATGATTTGAAGAAATGTTTCTCAAAGAGGAACATGTAATCACTAAACATATGAAAAGGCAACCTCTTAGAAAGCAGTGAAATGAAAACCAAAACACACGATCTCTTTTTCCCTCCCCATATACCAAATTGGCAAAAAAACTAAATGTGCAAACTTCGAACGCTGGCGATGCTGTGGAGCAGCT